GTGAGTCGTGGCTGTGGCCTGGTGACTCGTGGCCTCGGTGTCACTTGTGGCCTTGGTGTCACCCATGGCCTCGGTGTCACTTGTGGCTCTGGCCTGGTGACTCGTGACCTTGGTATCACTCGTGGCCTTGGTGTCACTCGTGGCTCTGGCCTTGGTGTCACTCGTGACCTTGGTGTCACTTGTGGCCTCGGTGTCACTTGTGGCCTTGGTGTCACTTGTGGCCTCCGTGTCACTCGTGTCCCCGGTGTCACTAGTGGCTCTGGCCTGGTGACTCATGGCCTTGGTGTCACTCGTGGCCTCGGTGTCACTCGTGGCCTCAGTGTCACTCGTGGCCCCGGTGTCACTCGTAGCTCTGGTCTGGTGACTCGTGGCCTCAGTGTCACTCGTGGCCTTGGTGTCACTCGTGGCCTTGGTGTCACTCATGGTGTCACTCGTGGCCTCGGTGTCACTCGTGGCTCCTGGGGACCAAAACCCAGGACGTATCCGAGCGCATCCAGCGTCTGTCCTGCTCCCGCTCCCCCATCCAAGCAGGGGCTTCCCCATCCAGGTGCCATCCCGGGCCCGTGGGGTCCCCAGCGAGGACAGGGTCCCCGCTGCCACCCCCTTGTCCCCCGCAGGCCAAGGCCCGGCACAACATCACCCTGCTGTGGGACACGGAGGTCATGGACGTGCTGGCCGACGGCTACAACCTGCACTACGGAGCCCGCTCCATCAAGCACGAGGTAAAACGGGAGCGGGGAGAGCGCGCGGGTGACACGAGTGCTCGGGGACAGGACAAGGGGTGACGGGGACGAGCTGGAGCCCAGGCAGCTCCATGTCCATGTGAGGAAGAACTTCCTTGGTGTGAGGGTGCCGGAGCCCTGGCACAGGCTGCCCAGAGAGGCTGTGGAGTCTCCTGCTCTGGAGATCTCCAACCCGCCTGGATGCGCCCGGGTGCCCCGGGCTCGCGGTGTCCCTGCTGGAGCTGGGGGGATCCCGGGAAAATGGGCTGACCCGGGATCAACTGGGCCAAACTGGGCTGAGCTTGGCCAGGCTGAGCCCCTCATGCGCAGCTAAGGGCCGCTAGAACCGAGCTGGTCCAACCTGAGCTGGTCCGAGCCAAGCCGGGCTCTGCTGGACCTATTGGGCTGGAGCGAGCTGGGCTGAGCTGGGCTGTACCGGGCCAAAGCGGGCCAGCGTGTGCTGGGCTGAACCGAGCCAGGCGATGCCTGTCCAAACAGCACTGGGCCCTGCTGAGCTGAACCGGGCTGTGATGGGCCAAACTGGGCTGTACCAGGCTGAAATGGGCCGAGCGGCACCAGGCCAAACTGGGCTGTGTTGAGCTGAACCGAGCTGGGCTGTACTGGGTCAGGTGTGCTGGGTGGAACCGGGCCAGGCTGTACCACTGAACTGAGCTGTGCTAGGCTGAACCGAGCTGGGTTGTACCGGGCCAAACCAGGCCAGGCTGTGCTAGGCTGAACCAGACTCTACTGGGCTGGGCTGTGCTGAACCAAGCTGGATTGCACTGGGCCATTCCAGGCCGAACCAGGCCAGACTGAGACAGGCCGTACTGGGCTGAACCAGGCCGGGCTGTGCCGGGCCAAACCGAGCTGGACTGTCCCCAGCTCGGTCCTGTTGGATTCCCCATGGCCGGAACACCAGGACGTAGCGGGAAGACGGAACACGGAGCCAGGGGGGCTTCTCCTTCCCCTTGCAGCAAATCCCGCTCCTCTGGATGATCCCGCTCCATCCTCGGAGGCAAATCCTCTCCCCAGCACCAGCCCGGGAGGTTTTTTGGGGTTTTGTTTTTCTTTCAAGGATTAATAACACCGTTTTTTCTTGCATAGATCATCGCGGCAGCAGCTAAATGTGAAATCAATTCCTGCACCGCGCTCTTGACAGGGCAATAACCCAAATGTTAATCCCAAGCACCCAACAAGGATTTGTGTCATTGTGCTGGAGATCCGCTGCTGGAGACGTGTCGAGGAAAGGAGCCGCCTGGGGAGCCGCTTGTTTTTTTCCCCTTTATTTCTCTCTCTTTTTTTTTTATTTTATTAATCAAGAGGTCTGCAACCTGGGCAAGGTCCCTGCGTTGCAATGGGCCCTGCTTGGGCTCCCGGGTGCCAGGAGGGGACACGGAGCGGCCGTGGGGACACACGGAGTGGCTGTGGGGACACATGGAGTGACCATGGGGACACAGAGAGTGACCATAGGGACACAGGGAGCTGCAGGGATGCAGGGAGCTGCTGCAGGGATGCAGGAAGCTGCTGTAGGGATGCAGGAAGCTGCTGTAGGGACACAGGGAGCTGCAGGGATGCAGGGAGCTGCTGCAGGGATGCAGGAAGCTGCTGTAGGGATGCAGGAAGCTGCTGTAGGGACGCAGGGAGCTGCTGGCGGGACGCAGGGAGCTGCTGCACG